ACGTGCTTGTACGTGCGCTGCAATCTGATTGGCTGAAACTTTAAACAGCCATAACTCCCTTGGTTTTCAACCAAACAGGATGGGATTTGGAACATAGATATATATACTGGACTTCTACAAGAAGGTATGGTCAATATGCACATGCATACATGTGCGTGTACATGCGCTGCAATCTGATTGGCTGAAACTTTAAACAGGTATAACTCCCTTGGTTTTCAACCAAACGGGGTGGGATTTAGAACATAGATAGATGTAATGGACTTCTACAAGAATGTATGGTCACCATGCTCATGTGTGCACTTGCGTGCATGTGAAATGGGTAAAATAAAAAATAAACTTGAATGACCGTTTTTTTTTATATACTCGTACTTTTGGATTATATTTAGCATATTAAAATATATAGATTGTGTAGACAATATGATATGGTCATTACGCACATGCATTCACATGCGCAAGTGTGCAATAATAAAATTTGAATGAACATGGTACACTTCTTGGTAAACGTTGTTAAAGTCTCAAATGCATAGAGTTTGTCTTATTTAATTACGCCTATAGGGAATATGATTATAAAAGGGAGTTGGGGAGCGTTTGGGGAACATCTGTAACGGTCCCCGTTACAATTAGCACTAGTTTCAATTAGATTGAGGAATATCAAAAAAAAAAAAAGTCGGCTAATAAAGGAGACAATTAATACCCATCGGCAGTCCAACAGTTTGCTTGAAGACTTAGTCTCCGAAGTCTACATACATAGAAGTTTTCAATGGAGAGATTCCAGAATTCGTTAAATATCAGCTTCAGTGTACTCTTGTGTAAAGAATCAGGTTTTCTTAACCAAGTTATTTTTTGTTGATGTAAAATACCATATTTTCTTTTCATTTCATTTTTATTGAAGAAGCAGTCTATGGCATCCACCAGCCTATGATATAATTTAGGAAGAGGAATGTTTGTAAAAATTGTAGAAAAGACTTATGTTTTATGTTATTAACGAAAGAAAAATTTGGCGATTTACACATTTAAATTTTTAAAAACCTTGAGTTTTTAGAACCCACATCTGCTTTACACCACTATTAGAATGTGTCGTAGCATAATACATCTGAAGTTCTAGTTATTAATTCAATAACATTTCATAACATACTGTCCTACCTTTATTAAAATAAAAAAAAATCAATGATGCATGTAAATTATTTGTTCTTCAAATTGTAATCTGTTTTCGATTTATTTTCCTCTCTCTTGGTTGGTGACAAAGAATCGCAAGTCTCTGATGATAGAGACGATTATAGAAATGACAAATTCAAGTTTCACAATCCTGATTGGCGTCCCGCGTCGGGAAGTTGTTTTTCACCTTGGAATAATCTAAGTTTGCTTTTTCCGAAATAACCCAGTATGTATCCTCAACATCCAAGGGTCCATCCTATGACAAAAAGCAGATAACTTTGTTGTTTTCTTCTTTGGTTAATAAAGACGGTTCTAAAAGTCGTGTTATCCGATCAGCCAGTCGAGACCTAAATTTGATAACTGTGTCATATCTTCCCCATCAACCGAGAGTCAATCTTATAGTAAAGCAGTTTCACTGGGTTTATGATGAGTGTTAGCTTAATCAATTCTATTATCAAATCAGCAAGTCGTTTCGAATTACATCTATCAAAAACACAACATTAGAGTGACTAAAATCAAAGGAAACGTAATGTCTACGAAGTCAAGGAAGTGGAAGATTTTTTAACCAACCAAAGAATTCAATTTGCTGGAAGATACATGATCAGTAGAATTTGTTTCCTCTTTCCTTTCCCCGGCTTCTTTCAAGCAATTGGCTCTATCCGCCATCAAAAAGTTCAGAGGTACTTCTGACGAGGTCCCACCCCTTCCCCTTCTAGACATCCAGAGAACGTTAACAGAAATATTATACAATTATTGCTGTTTTTTGAGGTCAATACAATGATTTATCCATCTGAGGAGTACAATATTCACCGAGCCCGAAGGGCGAGGTGAATATTGTACTTCGAAGATGGCTAAATCATTGTATTGACCTCAAAAAACAGCAACAATTGTTTTATTATATGATTCACCGATAAAATGATAAAGCTCATTACTTGTTTGCATTTAATGAAGTCTTAGCCATTTAGAAGAGAGAAGCAGAATTAAAATATAAATAAACCTTACCAGTCGTATCAATTTGAATATAGTTATATTTCGAGAAAAAGTAAAAATTGTTGTTCAGTTAATTTTGGGTGGGTGGGGGGGGTGTGTCCTTGCATCCCCTTTCACCACCCTTACCCAAAGCTATACAATCGCTTATGTTTTTCAAAACAATTTGTATCAATTTGGAATTTCCCCTTCTATCCTTGTACATCCAGAGAACATAGTTAACAGAGAGAGAAATATATATATTTATTTATAAATATATAGATTTATATATATATATTTCATGAGAACAATCCTTCTAAAAAAAGTCTAACTCCAGAGATCACCTCAATGGATAGTGTCTTTAAGCAAGGCAAAGTCCCACATTAAACTAACAATCTAGAAGTTTACATCAAAATGAAATTTTTTAAAATTTTTTATCTGATATGGCTTGCAGTAACTTGGGAATAGATTATCCAAAAACTTCAAACTAATCGCACATCAAGACAAGAGGCCCATGAACCTTATAGGTCATCTGAGCATCATGCAACAACTTTCAAATGATTGAATATATTCATATTTTTAGCTAGATGCTATGGCATTCACAAATTTGAAAGATGCACCATTGCTAATCATATCTATACACTTAGCAATTGGTTAGTTTGGTTACTTAATACCCATACGCAGGGTAGGGGAACAAACAATGCATTTCAACTAACCAGTAATATTCAGCAATATGTGCCCCTACCACACATGAACCCCTGACCCTAGGTCAACACATTGCACAATTTTTGAAAAGACACCCTTGCTTCTCAAAAATGTTTGATTAATACCCAGGCGCAGATTTCAAACAATTAATTCAATTTCAGTATATAAGTAGACCCACCTCTATCGTACCCCTGACCCTGGGGCCATGAAATTCACAATTTTGGAAGAGTCACTCTTGCTTATCATAACTATGTACTTAGCTAGTTTCTCAATACCCAGGAGCAGAGAAGAAGATTTTCAAAGAATTATGCATTTTCAGTTTTTCACTATATAATCAATAGAGCTCTGCCCTAACACTAGAACCCCTAACACTGGGGCCATAAAACTCACAATTTTGGAAGAGGCACTCTTGCTCATCATAACTATGTACTTACTGTATACAGGGAAATTTTCGCCTCCGTTTTATTTTCGCCCCTTTCGCCCTTCCCTCATTTGGGCGAATTTAAAACGGGGCGAAACGAAATAATACAGTATAACTTCTTTAATGAAACTATGATTGGGCGAATTTAAAACGGGACAAAATTGTTTGCAGGTGTGAAAGGGCGAAAATTAAACGGGGCGAAAATAACCCTGTATACAGTAGTTAATTTAATTAATACTCAGAAGCAGAGAAGAAGATTTTAAAAGAAATAATGCATTTTCATTATATAATCAATAGAGTCCCCCCCTAACACCAGAAACCCTGACCCTGGGGCCATAAAATTCACAATTTTGGTAGAGGCAGTCTTGCTCATCATAATTATGTACTTAGTTTATTTAATACCTAGGAGCTGAGAAGACGATTTTCAAAGAATTAATGCATTTTCATTATTTAAGGAATCACTGTCTAGTTTTGAGAGTATGCCAGGGCATCAACAATAGTGGGAGACATGGGATAATTTGCATAACGGGCGACTCAGGTGACCTAAAATTGTACTAGTTATTCAAATCTAGCATCCGAAGCAAGTTAGAAAGTGTTCATCTCTTGATGCATCATCCATGGAAGTTTGGTTAATAAAGCCCAAGGCCTTATAGTTTCTTGGTAACAGACCTGCACCCATAACTTTAACCTGGTCCATGATCTGGAAAATGTATGTCAAATCCAATATCCGAAGCAAATCCATAAGTATACATCCTGATGTGTCATCCATGCACGTTTGGTCATTATAGGGCTCCTAATATTGGGAAATGAGACCTGCACCCAAAACATTTACCTGTTCACTCAATCGGAAAATCAGAAACAGCATTCGAAGCAAGCCTGGTAGTGTGCATCCTTAGATGTCCACGCACGTTTGGTCATCATAGGGATCATAGCTACTTGGAAATGAGACTTGCACCAAAAACCTTAACCTGTTCACTCACCCGGAAAATGAACTACAGATCCAGCATCAAAACCTAGCCTGGTAGTATGCATCTCCATGCAAGTTTGGTAATCATAAGCTCATGGTTGAATGAAACCTCAGTCTTGCACCAAAAACACTACCCTGTTTACTCATCCAGAAAATGTAGGTCAGATCCAGCACACGAGCAAGCCTGGTAGTATGCGTCCTTAGATGTATACATCATCCATGCAAGTTTGGTCATCCTAAGGATTATAGCTACTTGTCAATGAGACCTGCTCAAAAACTTTAACCTGCACCAAAACATTAACCTGCTCAAAAATGTTAACCTGGTCATTCCTTTGCTGTAATAGCAGCATTTGAAACCAAACCTTATCTGGTACAATGAAAGGCACTAAAAGCTTTCTCCATCAATGTAGGGCATAGAAGTACTAAAAAAGAAAACTGCACCAAAACCTAGGACGGTATTACATAGCTCCCCCAACTTCGTCGAGGTGAGCTAAAAATCATTGAGAGCAATTAATAGATGTACATTTATACATGTCACAATCTACAACAAACTGGATAAGCGAATATATCGTCTTCATAAGCCGCAATGTCGTCGGAAACCTAGACTCCCCGTGCATGCTTCCTCGCAATGTCAGGGATCCCGAGTCCAACGGCAACTTGTTGACTAAGGACCCCTGGCACTGCGAGGGTGTCGTGCATGCAGTAGCAGGCTCCAAACAGTAGTAAAGCGTTTTTTTCCCTCTTCTAACAGATGTACTCTCCTAAGATTTTAAAGGAAAAAAGCTGTTGGACAGATGTCTTTATTTTTTGTAATCAGTGATTTTATTTACACCGGAGAACTAGTAATACACTTTTTTTTCACAAGATAAAGAATACACATGTATTCTATTAAAATATGCAGCAATAAAGTCTACGTGTATCTGTTGAAATTATTTATTCATGTGACAAACATAAAGTTTATAATAAAGAACATATATACTATTTGATTAGTTATAATCACGTGACCATGTAATTTAATGTGACTAAGGTACAACTTAACCTTTAACAGTATATTAATAGTATACATGTAACTGTATATTTCAAATAACAAACATAGGTATAACACTATAATAATTTTCAAAGAAAACACATATCTGGGGAACTATAAATACAAAGAATATTGAATTTCATATTCTGTCGAAAAAAGCAATCATTCAATAAGATATCGTTTAAGTCTAAATATCGAACTCATGTTCATTCAAAATATGGTGCAAAATAAAAATGGAAACAACATGAAAAAAGTTTGATAAGGTGGAATGGGCAGGATGGAATACGATCTGCAGATAATTAAGAATCAAGCAGTCCTAAAATATCATTAGATGCCTCTACAAACACGTAAAGACCAATAATACAACCGAGATGAAATCTAATAAACTGAATGACTCGTGCATAAAATATGATGATAACAAAACCAGATAATTAAAACACAAAATTGTGAAAAGTCATAAAATGAATCTTGATAATCGATTTGACACCAAAGACTTCCATAGCACGGCTATTGACAGTTCCGTCAGCTGTGAATATTAAGTACGGGTCTCGGGTCTCCAGCGTTTTGTCAGTACCTCCCTCCGAGTGCTTTATTTCGGCGCCATCACTCATCTTTTCGAACACACTTATTCTTCCACTTACGACATAAAAGAAAAGTACTCAGTAATAAATGTATCTGTTTACCGAGGACAGACTTTTGATTATATTTAGTTGGTAGAAACGAGTAACAAATTATAGACAGCACGAAAACAGTTGGAACAAGCGTACATGTATGCACTTGAGTTTGATTGACACGAATTGTGTGGAGACTGAAATGTCTTAAGTAGACCACGCCCAGAACACCAATCTGGGCAGAGAACACTGGCCATTTTAGAAATTTACAAAAAAATCAATAAACAACGAGTCTTTACGAGAAAAACAGCACAATAACAAGTGACAAATACACATGACATATGAACGATGACTGTAGATGATTGGTCGAAGACATTGGCTGCTGGTTATTAGATGATGGATTTTCTCTGCGATTCTCAGATTTTAAGTTCCGTTCCGAAATAATTACTGAAAAATAACGTTTTCCTAGGTAAAAACAATAAAAATTTGTGTAGAAATATTTCCATTCAATATTATCATTAAAGTGTATTTTATAAATTAATTTAAAAACATGGCAAATCAAGTGCTCCGTTGGATGCCTAGTGTTGTACACATGTCCGAACATTTTGGCCTTCCTAATTCGTGTACGGTGTCCTATTTTCTTTTTTTATTGATTAGTTCCAAGAAGCCATAATGACCTACCTCTGGGTTGCAACATATCTTCCCTCAAGATGCACCAAATGACAGTTTGGTGACCATATACTTCACAAAGTGCAAAATCTTAACTCTTGACTATGAATAGAACTAAACGTTTCCAAAATGAGGTCACAGTGACCTAATTTCAGATACGACAGACCTTAGCCTCATGATACTACTTGTCATACTTATAAGCTGTGGTTTGTGATAGGATATTTTTACTATTTTAAACACCTTCGCCCAAGATGCATCAATAATACAAATTTTAATGGTCATGGGCTTTAAAGAGTGCACGATATTAAAAATCATATGACTATATATAGCCATAAAATTCTTAAATGATGCATATGATGACTTGTTGGATAGCACATCTGAGCTCAAAGAAACATTAATTGACACGATTAATAAATATCATACATCTCAATGAATGAAAGAGATGGCACAAACACTAAAAAGCTAAAATAGGATCAAGAAAGATTTTTTTCCAAAAGGACCGCCAAAAGTAATAATATGACGTCTTGTATTATAGAATAATAAAACATTCTTCGTTGTTTGTACACTTCAGAAAATATTTTCAAAACAGATGATATACACATAGTCATGCTAAATTGATTCTAGTCCATTTATAATTGCTGAGCTCAGGTGGATGTAAAACCCCTAATTTAAGGTACTTATGTAACGACTCGAACTAGAATTCGTCTTACAAAGTTATTTTCCAATTAGACGGATCAACTTAGAAATTTTGCAACTTTTCAATAAGAAGAACACGGTCGTTAGGTCGTAATTCGGTCTTGATTAAATTTTGCGTAATAAACAACATTCTGTGGGCGGACCGTGCACATCATCGATGAACTTACCTCTTTTGCTGTTCTTGCTAGTGGCTGAAAAAAAAAGAGATAAAGAATTGAACTTAAAATTCCTTTCTGTTTAGAAATCAATTATAATTCATATCAAATGTTAAATGACATATAAACGGGAGACAGTTATTTGTAATGAATCGAAACCATGTTTCAAATTTATTATCTCTAGCAAACATATGCCGATTCTGAGTTTTGACACGATATTTGAATAATACAGAGGGAAAAAAGAACGTCGAGTGTCCAGGAAAAAATATGAAATCTGTTCCAGATTAGGATATAGTCACGTGATATGGGAATCCAATCTGCCAAGTGTCTCATTTATCACATTCTGTCGAACAGTCTAAGCCCGAAATCAATCTGTTCCGGACTAGAATGTCTTGGGATACAAATCAAACTCGATTTGCAAATTAATGTTTGGAGTAAGATGACACTGTTTAATGGCACTGCATTGCAGTTTCTGCTTTCCCAGCAACACAGATACAAACCAAAAACGATTCTGATGGATCGGGAACAAAGAGAAGTGGCGCATTATCACGCTTCACTTCAATTATGAGTTTGCAATTTCTTTCTAAAAAGGATTGATGATCTTTATTATATCAGAATATAAATAAGTACATGAGAATCAGATACTGACCATACAGCACGACAACAGATGTCGACTTAACCAGACTGTTGGACGTCCGACACGTGTATGTCCCGGCATCACTCATCCGCGCATGCTCCACACGAAAACTACTCTTTATAGTTTTTGTTTCCATTGTCACAGAAAACTTGATGGTAACACCCCTTTCAATGTTACTCTGAAGTTTTTCACCATTTTTGAACCAGTCAATGTTTTCAGGAACAAAGTCTACTCCCGTGACATTACAGTAAATTTCAAACGGTTCGTCGGTATTTACATGTTGTCTGTCAGAAATGTGGATCACTGAAAGATAAAGGACAATGGAAAGCTTATAGGATGTAGGCTGATAAAACTTGAGCAACTCTCAAAATCGAATTAAAGTCACCATTAAAATTCGAATCAAAGGATTATTAGGGAACCTACAATCACTTATCAAGGAATATCTCCAGGAGACTCAGAGTACAATAAATATATAGCTCTTGAATCTTTTAATAAAAAGTCTGTTTTGGCAAGGAATATTTACGCAATAAAAATAACTAAAGAATGCGCAACAGTTTGACATGTTTGAGGATTTCAGTCTCTTGACGCATTCATTCTTCTCTCACTCTCTCTTTCTCTCTCTTACCTACCTTCTTTAGAATTTGATTTATACCGAGGAACATGCTGTTTTTCTACAAAATTCAAAATTCTATTACACATTTGCAACTGAGGAATTAATCAAATATTTAACAATAAACCAGAACTTTTTTTAACGTGAAGACGACCTTAATACTTATGTATTATAGCTTGGCATACCGTGTACTCTATTTGGCATTACTAGTATGTTGATGTCTCTACCCTACACGTTGTTCACATCCTTCAACAAATATATCTAATAATACCTAATACTTTTACCAATGGACGGTTATGTTTTAAAATAAGTTAGGCCTATTAATTGTTAATTCCATATTATTTATGTTTGGAAACGTATAATTTTTACAATTATGCCTATTTCATAACACATCACCGATTTCCACCCGCCTAACACATAAACAAAGAATTTACTATTTATCGTGTTTCGAAGAATAGCATCTAAATTTTAGCAACTATGCAAACGTTACTCAATCTGTTGTCTTTTCTCTGACTTTTTACACTTATTTATCGCATTATCACGCAAGAACAATTCTAAGAAGCTCTGTTATTCTACAATGATGTACTATTGTTTTGTTGCGATATAGTTTTTGAGTGTCACGTGATCAGCAACGGAAGTGGATACGGAAGGGTGTCAGAGATCGCAACGATACGACTGTACAAAATCTAACAACAATACATCAAAGATGACAGTAATTTGGTGAAAACAAAACCTTGCAGCTCAAATTACAAATGTACTTCTTTTATCATAATACAGATATTGTAAAAAGTAGGATTTGGATACAGGAGAAGAAAAATGTTTTTCTTTTTTTAAGGAAAAGGGTTTTTTTTTATTTTTTTTTAGATAAAAACAGTCGAAATACTTAACTGTCATTAGTTAAACATCTAATATACATCTGCGACAATATTTGTATTAGGTCTTAAAGGATTTAAGTGCCAACAAACAAGTTTAAAAAAAAAAAGTAATTGCATTCATTTATTCAAATTCAATTATTTTAATTGACTCTATTTTGTCTGATATGATGTTGATGTAGATTGAAATTTATATCACAGGTCTGTAGATTGCGAGTCCATGTCCCTACACCGTCAATTTTACTGAAAACTTTACTCAATATTAATACTATTTACTTTTCTTTGTTTTTTGGTAACAATACGACAGGGGATGTTATTTTAGGGGATGCTTATTCCTCCATAGCACCTGATCACACCTCTGTTTTAGAGGTCTGTGTTTGCTCTGTTCCTTGTACTGTTTGGACTTGGGACCTTGAATACTATTCATTATATCCAGATTTCATGTCTGAATCGCTTGAGGTTTTGATTTGATTCCTTTTTTTGGATACGGAGAGCAGAATTTGGCAGCGATTTGACTAATGACTGTTTATAATTAATATGTACATGTCCTCATGTCAAAGTTACTTAACAGGTACAAGTAGGAATACACTGGTCGTACCTATTACAGTGAGGTAGAAATGTTTCCGCATCTGTTTGTCGGTAGTGGGCACTTGACATTCGTACTCTCCACTGTGCCTGGAATGTGCACCGGAAATGATCAGTTTCCAGTCCTCCGATTCTCGCGCATGTTCCACAGACATGGCTACATCGTTTACAAAAATGTATTGACCAATCGTTAAAGGTGATACATCAGGTAGCTTCCTCCAAATGACCTTTGATAGAAAAAAGTAAACGAGCATTACTTAAGCATAACTTAAAAAATGACATTTTTTTCAGACATTCTGGCACTGGTGAGTTATTTGGCAGTTATCCCGGCTTTAAAAGACATCTTCTTTGCAAGGTCTTTTCTTACGATTAACAAACTAAATCTTAAATAATTGCGCCATTAAATGTGATAAATTTTGAATTGTCTAAAGTCTCAGGATCGAAAAAAATACGTGAAGGTTTTGAAAGTTATCTTTGCAATGTCTTTGACTTCTGTATCTTACGATTGATAAACAAAATTATATATAATTGCGCCATTAAATGTTAATAAATGTTGAATTGTCTAAAGGTCTCAGGATCGAAAAAATATGTGAATGTTTTAAAAGAAATCTTCTTTGCAATGTGTTTGACTTCTATTTCTTACGATTAACAAACAAAATTGTAAATAATTGCGCCATTAAAATTAATGTTAATGAACTGTCTAAAGGTCTCAAAATCGAAAATACGTGAATGTCATAGCGAACAGAAAAAATATTTGATCTTAGTTTTTTCAAAGTTTTTTTTTTTTTTATTTTTTTTTTTTTTTTTTGCTTATTATTATATTTATTAGAAACGTGAGTCTTTTCTCAAAAAAAAATATTGGTTCGCTATTTTCATCACAAGAATGGGGTTGTTTTGAAAATACCAACTGAACTATTTCTTGAATGATAAATCATGCAATTAATTTCCCGGCACTTGAGCAAATTTTATGGAAAGCATCAAATACCGTTATAGATAATTTTAGAAATTCTAAATTTTATTTATAAAAAAATGTTATATGCATGTTTCCCAGAATATAAAGCCCGTCTTTGAGAGTCGTGCCAATCCATATATCTTTGCATATCGGTAAACCGTGAAGTGGAATACTAAAACCATTATATTGTATATCGGATGCCAACTGTTGATGAAATAATGGTATAGATGGAAAGTCATTAAATACTCATCACGAACAATTGATAAACAATAGACATCGCCTCTCCTGCACTGTACATTGACATCCGGGGGTGACAACAAGGTTACTCGTGCATGAGGTGACAACTACCTGCTTTTCTGCGATTGAAATCATGCCGTCTGGTTTGATCTATGAAATAATCTTTCCTTTCTTTTGCCCGATCACGACATTGTATTTGTCCCCAAGACAATTCAATGTAATTAATGGACTTTGGTAGCAATTTGTTAACTAGCTGCACAGATCTACTCAATTTCATCAATAACAGTAATGCACAAAATACGAGGCATCTTGGGGGTTCTTCGCCAATTGAAAACTTTTTTCTTCGTGTACTTTCGGCTACATACGTGTCGGACAGATAGCCAAAGACAATACCGGCCAACGCAATGTTATGACATATTAATGACTCTTGTCAGTATTTCTCTCCGTAAACTGTCCATATTCTTGGAAACTACAGACCTTTGAGGATGGTTTGATCTCAGTGGTAGTTTCCAGATGAATGATATGCACGCATTTCTGTGTGATAAATACTGAAACATCAGTTATGCACATTTTGACCCTTGCATACTTGCACTTTCGGCAGATTTTGGCTCGCTAACAGTCTGTAATCTTGTACATAAATTACTAAGCAAATAACTTATGATGACTACAAAGACAATGAATTATACGAATAGTTTGATGCATGAATTATTTTAAATAATGAAATAAACACGCCTTATTTAAAGCAATATGAGCTGCATCTTTGAATATTTTATTTTGCTGTAAAAATGTGTTATTATGGAAAATTTGTATGTAAACTTAAACCTTTATGATCAATTAGACTAAAATAAAGCAGAGGAAAGACTTCAATATACAATTCAATATACAGTTTTATATAAGAAATCATTATTGTACAGGACGACAATAATGTAATTTGGATTCGGTCAAAGCTTATTAATAGTTCTTCCATCGCAAATACAATGTATGAACAACAGAAGTTTTGTAACGTAATTTTTTCTGTCATTGAATTAGTTATTTACAATTTTGCAATTAAAAATTCCAACATCAAAGTTGCAGCTCATATTGCTTTAAATCTATATTATTATACATATATACCGGTATCTGACATGATGATAAGGAATTGATGGTTTCTTACTTTTCTAGTCCCGAGATTTTCCACCTTACACACCAGACTAGCTGTCTCTCCGGCATTTACTGTCACATTGGTCTCAGAGTGGGCAAACCTGGGCACCGGGTACCTGCCCGACACTCCGAGACGGGAACCGAAAGCTGTAAAGAACAAAGTACCTGGTAATGAAGAAATAAAAGGCTAGCAGTTATGTAATCAACATTCATAACTGTTTGAAAACAAACGTCTAGGAGCAATATCCCTAATTTTACGTTCATATTACCGGTATCAATTTTATACACATTTGTAAAACAACAGAATCTACGTATATGAAAATTACTATTTATTTCATTCCAGAGATACATTTTTTTTTCGGAATGCAAAACGCTTGAAGTTATGTCGGTATTGCTTAAGCTTGATCTACACTCAAGTGTTCTTTAAAATTTTTTGAAAGTAATTTAAACATATGAATCATTTCTTTGATTCCGATTCCCTTAGCAAAGTTCAATAATGGATTGGTAGTTTTTATTCCATTTGGCCCGACACACCCTTAAGTGTTATGGGACGCAGTTCCATCGTTAAAAGTGCGCTAGGACAAAAAATATAATGAATAATTTGTGGCGTACTAGTATTTGAAAGCAGCAGATGGTTTTCATGTGATCGCGAGGATGCCACAAGTGATAAAGCCATGAATATTCACCATGTCCATTACATGACCACCGTTGATTGGCTATAGATTAAATCATTTATTGATAAAAATCTGACAATTAAATGTAGTTTGACCAGGGCACTAAAAGTCTTTTTTAAAATATTAATGTTTCCTATTGGTGTCCAGGGTCAGAACATTGAATATTCAATCCAGTAGTTAATTGGTGTTCAGACAAAATAAATATAATAGGTCCATGGACCATAACCTCACTTGAGTCAATATGGCCCCGCTTTTCTTCATCGGTAGATTTTTTTCTATCATATTTTTCTACACTGAAAGAAATACCTAGTTATTTTAACTAGTAACTAGTAAACCCTAGTAAAGCATTCATCATGATTAGTCATCATTCTGTTTACAGGCTAAGGTAGTGAGAAGTACATGTAGGTGTCACGTGGAGCGGGGGTCGTATAGATACCTACCAACCTAGTGAAAGTGTAAATTCTTGATTTATTATAATGTTATTTAGTAAATGTGCTCAAAGTAGTAAAAACTAATATTTTATGGAAAGTAAATTTACTGGTCTTCTTGATAATTATTTTTAAGTTTATGTGAAACTTTTATACTGATTGTTATCAAATCCTTCACAAGTGTCATAATTTTAATAAATATAGCCCAGTCTTACACCTCGGGGTCAGAATTTGGACAAAATTGAATCTACAATACATTACCTCAAAACACTTCCATATGAATGTGACTTATGGCTTTGTCGTTCTTAAGAAAATGTTCCTATACGTCTGTATGTAAAAATTGAATTCCCCATTGTTGCCCTAACCTAACCCCGGATTATTTGGAAAGAGTTTTGCCTTTATATTTCTATATTCTAGTTAGACCCCATTGTGCCCCCACCCTACCCCTGGGGGGTCATGATTTGAACAAACTAAATCTACACTCGTTAAAGAAGGTTTAAGATAAGTTTCAATTTTTTGGTGCAGTGGTTCTTGAGAAGATTTTAAAAAAAGATTTTTAAAAGATTCCACAGAATTTTCAGCAATTCTAGTCTCCCCTTAATTGAAAGAGGGGTGTCCCTTCATTTGAACAAACTTGAATTCCATTCAACCAAGGCGAGTTTAGTAGAAATTGGCTAAATGGTTAGGGAGAAGTCGAAAATGTGAACAAACGGATTATAGACAGGAAAACTCACTTGGGCTTTCAACTCAAGTGATTTAAAACGTGGTAGGACCGCAGTTTTTGTAAAAAGTCTCCGACGAGATTTTATAAAACATATTGCAATTCGTTGTATTCAATGTTTCCATAGGTGTATGATGGTACTGCTGCTGCTGCTCTCTCTCTCAACAGAAGTATTTTAAGATTATATATTGGATTGAGATGTATCGAAGCAATTTGATTTTAAATAAATAATAAAGGCCTCAGGTGAAAAACAAAATGCAAACATAAATCAAATATTTCCCTCACGCTGCTTCGAGTCTGAAGTCGGCGTCTATCGGCTACACAGGCGATTCAATATCATTTTCCCCATTTCCTCGGAAAACCGTCTTTAATGTTCCTTACAATAAGGTGAAAACGATCGAAAAACATTTAGTCTTCGATAAGTGGGGAATCATTGCAAATTATTTATGTAATCAATCATCTGTTTTGCATTCTGGAAGTATTTATCCAATTATAAAACTGTGTTATTTCAAACAGAAAATTTAATGATACTCCTTTTTTGAAAACACTATGAAAAAGAAGACATTTTATAAAGGATGATTATGTAATTAATGATCCTCGCAGATTGAAGGCGAGGGCTGCAGTGTTTGAAAGTTGTGCCATGTAATACCGGGGGGATATATTTGGCTTTTGTTTCTTTGTGGTGATAGCATCAATAGTTCCCGTTAGTTTTAGATGAATGAGTTCTGCAAAAAATGCTTCACAGATGGTTTCTATACTTAAATATATATACACATAACAATTTCAAAAGAAAACATTTACTGTTTAACCGATTGTCAAGAACTAGCAAGTTAAGGCTTTTCGATTGTTTTCGTGTGTGTAAATCAATAAAGAACAACATTTTAAACAAATTGTCTTTATGATCTCTGGTGCAACTGGCAACTTCTTTGGCATTACTTTGTCTAAGGTCATTATATTTTTCCCGAAAACTCGTGTTCATTTTTACTGTGATTAATGACAATACCAATAAGGCATAGTATCAGACAACAAATGAAACGGGGCTGAACGTCACAACGTGCATGTAACAATTACTCCTCCTAAACGACGCCAAGCGCATTGTTAGACACTGACGAAAATAGATATCTGTAAAACAGCAAATTAATTTAGATAAATGTATCATAACGAGTTTAGTGATAAACTGTTTAACCTTTGTAGGTCGGTTTAATAAAACATCAATGTCTCTCCGCGTCCTTAAAAAGTGTATATGGAATGTTTCATTTGCAAATGATAAATGCAGTATATTAAATCGCCTAAAAAGTCAAGTAACAAATATTTTACAACCAATGTGAAAACATGTTGCCACTTACTAGACGAGATGTCACTAGAAACACTCAAAAGGCACATAACCCGTGCTTTCCAATGCTAAATGGGGGAAACGCATTTTTCTCTACGGAATTGCAACCGATTTTGGGACTAGTCAGGCAACGATTGATTTCCATGATAAGACGGCATACTTAGATGTTTGACTTCATGAAGGCATATAATAAGAAACAATTTGGCACAGTTTAACATATCTTGGTCAGCAGGTCATTTAAAAAGGGGTCAACAATCAGAATTAATAAAATGAATGTTTAAAAATTTATACTAGTATCTTTGATGTTATTTATTTGAAGGGGAAAAAATGAAAATAGGTGTACTTATTCTAATTTTCAAATAAAAATCAGTAAACGACACCAAAATTGTGTTTTTCTTATTTGTGGTCAGATATACAGGTATATAAAATATCGACCTTTTAATACAAAACAAACACCTTGTAATGAAATATTTAAGAATTTTGCTGCAATGGGTAATAAAAACATATATACTTCAAAATCTAGACAATCCATAGTGGATTTCATATAAAAAGCACACTTGATCTTCGATCTGGTCGAGTTGAGCCTTGACACCGCCTCAGTTTCCGGTATAGTGAGATAGTGCACGTGATTGTGTGTGGCATACATCGGAACCATCAGGAAGAATCTAGCCCGTAACAAGCATTACGCATTATTAATTTTAACAAGCTCTGTTACTTTTTTCTCCTATCTAAGAGTATCTATATCTTTAGAAGTTCTTGCCAGCCAAAATACTGGTACCCTTTACTGACATGTCATTAACCGGGGGACTAGAAAAGAGCACAATCTAGCATAAATAAGTGATGTGCAAAATTTCCTGGAAAAAATGATTTCCCGTTTGTTTTGCAGACCAGTGCAAGGTGTTTCCACATCGGTCAATTTAAGTTCTCTCGAACAGTTGTTTAGCCAAAACACATAAAGCCTCGTTAAAATAATAGAGGCGGCTTCACCACCTGTGGCTAATGTAATTCAAATAAATATGCATTTGTTAATATTGGCATATGTACATTGGATAGATAATATGATTCTTATATGCCATTACACTGCTAAAGATTCTAATAAAGCAACTTTAATAATTTGTAACAGTATAAGTAATATTTTCCCTATTTGTCAAGTGAAAAGTAGTGATTTCTTTAGAAGTGTTTGTTTCATACGGTGACCACTTCCTCATTTTTTAAAATCTGCATTGGATACAAAATCAACGAAAATGTTGGTGAGAGTGCTTATAACCATACACTGGTCCTTCCAACCGGAAATACAGCTGCAAAACTGTAGGTGTCTGACAAAAAATATATAGATACTACAGCTAAGGACCAGCAAACTACCGATTTGCAGCTATATTGGAACTTGATGTTCCGAGTGTGAAACTATATTTTTAATCATAATTAAGAGTGAAATATATGGAGATAACGAACAGTATTCAAGGTCAAAAGTCCATAAAACAATACAAAATAGGATCAGAGCAAACACGGACTTCCAAAACATCAGACGTGGGATTAGGTGTCATGGAGGAGTGGGCATCCCCTGCCGACCAGTCACACTCACCGTGTGCTCCTCGTCATGTCCGAGAAAATAACGGAAAAATCCGTCGTCAATTCAGTGAATAAATAATGGACAATTAGTATGAAAAACGTCAGTCAGCATTAGACTCAATGATAAATTGTATTGCTGACATGGTCATTGTATCGACCATAGAACTTATGAAACGATGATTTTAAACGAGACTATTGATATTCTTGTTTCGAATCAACTTGTTTGTCAATACTTTACCTCGTTTTAGAAATTGTTCACTCGTAGAGCATGCTATTGCGTTTCGAATCAACTGAGATATATATCGTATCGACATAAAAATGGAAATTACCATTGTTAATCGAAAATATGTCGTCGATATATCTAAATGTCGAGTTGAAGGCCACAAGTGTTTTCTTCTTTTCATACTTAAGATTTTGCACAA